CTTAATGAAAAACATGTGGTTTTAGGAAAAAATGTATATTCTTGAGAATAAAGTAAGACCCCTGTCCTTAAAAAATGGAATTTAGTAAACAACACTGATGAGAACTGTTTGGAAATGTAGGCCCCCAAAATGACCACGTGGAGAGTAGTGATCTGGCCAAGAGATTCCTTATTGCTGGGTGGGAGAGAGAGAGAGAGAGCCCAAGAGAGAGAGAAGCAGGAAGGTCAGGGGCTTAAATACCCCTCAGTGGGACTCAGCATGATCTGATTGGTTAGGATCTTATGGTTTGTGCTGATTAGAGGTTGGAGCAGAAGGAGGATTCAAGCTAGACTTGAGGCAGGACCTTGACCCTGGAAAGCAGAAGCTTAAGGGTGCAGTAAGAACCGAAACCTATCGTGCCATTATTGCCAACAAGAACAATAAGTTTAAAGTTGAGATAGATCAGAAAACTGAAATATAAGTAAAATGTAAGCCAAGCCTGTCTTTTTTCTTATCCCTGGGTACAATTGTCCCTCTGCATAGTACTAACTGATCTGGTGTGCTTCTCCCTTAATGTCCTCCCATCTGCTCCTCCTTCAGCCCAGTGGTATCTGGCATCTACTCTCCTATTTACACTGAGATGCATAAGAAACCAGGGTAGTTAACTGTCTTGTTTTCTGGGTTTTCAGTGCCCTAGGGGACTGCAGTTAGGCAGCCAGCTGTCTACTGCTTCTCTGGTTCCATTCCTGTCACTGCACTTCTGTTATACCATCTTTGCCAGACTGTTAAAACTTTTTTTTAAATGTATTAGCCAAGTCAAAAAGTTAGTAAACTGAAAAATTATTATAAGAGATAAGCCAGACAAAGAATTAGACTTTTCCCAAACAGGATATGAGCTCCTCCCAGCTGACAAAACAAAGGCAAATGCTGTGAACAGGCATTCCACATGGGAGGAAAACTAAATTCTCATTAACATCTGAAACGATTGCTTAAAGACACTACTAGATTATCACTTTAAAAAACAATATTTTCGATCTGTCAAGAAGATGAAGAAATAGGCACTCTGGGAGTGGTGAAGTGTTTGAAGTCATCTTGTAATATATATTCAACATTTTGCATCCTTTGACCTAGCTGATCGTATCTGTGAGTCTGAAACTGGAGTTTTGGACACCAGGTCCAAACTCCGGGCTTCCACATGTAGGTCCTGCCACTTTCCCTAAACCAAATAAAGAGACATGGTGAAGGGCAGAGAAAGATTTATTAAATGGCCAGAACATGCCTTGGGGAGAGGCAAAGCACACACTCAATCCATATTTAGCCATTAGTCAGCTTTAAATAGACAAACAATTAGGGCAGAGACAAAACATATGCATAGTTTAAACAGTCCCAGTCATAGGTGTGTTCCAGGGGTCTTTATCTCTGTCTTTGTTTTGGGAGAGGTTCCACAGCAGTTATCTCTCTTGTCCTGTGGAAGCTCAAATGACCCATTGGGGGGCAGTTTCCTCCATTCCTTCTTGAAAACATGGATGAGTCCTGTTCTTCCTGAATTCCAAGGTGACTGTAAGGTGAATGACTTAAAGACAGATGCAAAATGGAGTCAGGGATGCCAAGCTTTCCTACGGCTTTTAGTTAATTTGTGGACCCAAGTAAGTAGCCCGTGCTTTTCAGCAAAAGCAGTTTAAGCACCAAGGGCTGAAGTGCTTACTCTGCCTCTTTCAACCACATGTCCCATCCAGTATAATCTCTTTTCTCTGCCCTCCACCTCTTTATTTGGCATATAGAGGTGGGTGGCAACCCGATGTGGAAGCCCAGGAGTTTTGAACTCCTGAGTTTGGGCCTGGAGTCCAAAACTCCAGTTTTAAAAGCAAATACTGTATTCTTCATACAATTATGTAAGAGGTTGATGTAGTGCTGTCTTTTATTTTACATTTCGGTGGTACTGGGGTTTGAACTCAGAGATTCATACTTCCTAAGCAGGCGCTCTACCACTTGAGCCACTACAACAGTGCCTTTGTGTGTCAGGTATTTTCAAGGGGATCTTGCACACTATCTGCCAGGCTGGCTTTGAATAGCAATCCTCCTGATCTCTGCTTCCTGAGTAGCTAGGATTACAGGCATGAGCCACTAGTGCCCTGCTGCACTGTCTCTTATTTATTTATTTATTGTTTCTGAGATGGGGTCTTGCTAGGTAGCCCATGCTGTGTAGCCCAGGCTGGCCTTGACTTTGCAATCCCCCTGCATCAGCCTCTCAAGTTCTGGGATGATAAGTATGTGTCACCACACTTGACACTGTCTATTTTAAAAATAATGTACCCAGTACAATAGCTAAATGGCCTGCCTTCCCTAGGGTGCTGTCATTTGCTTTTCTATCTATACCCATTGTCATCTACATCTTCAACACCGTAGATTTGGCCTAAGTCACTGTGCTGAACTCTAATTATTATTTTCAACATTTCTGAGATTTATCTGGCTATGCCATATATCATAGTTGTCTCAGACTTGTGAAACTGCATGTATCATTTTCATTGATGCCACGACCTTCATTTCCTCCCCTTCAAACTGTCCTATATTTTATGACTTTGTGACAGCCTGGCCTTGCCTATCCTGTTTTGCCTACCCCCACCCTAACTGTGCTTATGTTTAAGAACAGGATGACTGGAGGGTCATGGTAATGGGATAAAACCAGCTAGGTCTGTTATGTGCTGATGCAAAGTGTTGTGGGCCGGTGTCAAGGGTCCTTGCCTTCACAGGCCAGGGAACTGGCTCATGAGGAAGCTGATTGATTTATGAGCTGAAGCCGGTATACAAAGTAGAATTTATTAGAGAGAAAGGAAAGGCTACAGCTAGAGCAGTGCAGCAGAGCCCAGAAACCAGTGGCTTTCTGCTCAGGTGAAGGCTGGGGCTTTTATGGACATTTTAACTCTGGGTTTGAGTAAGGATTAGGTGGGCTTTTCTCATTGGCTGTGGATTCTTGGGCTTTCTTAGATGAACTGGTTTGTTTGCCCCTTATTGGGAGGGGTGGACAATCTTGAGAGCATTTTGCTCATCAGCCCTGTGGCAGATCTATCAGACCCTGTATCTCCTCTTCAGGATCCAGAAATGCAGATTTACAACTCCTTCTCAGGACGCAGGAATCATAGTGCTCTCCATGGGGGATGGGATACTCACTCATCTGCCCTTTAGACCTCCAAACCCAACAGGTCCAGAGTGACTGTCCAAATAGACACCAAGCTTCATTTTCATGCTAAATGACACACTCCTCAGCACCATGACAGTTTACAGTCACCATGTAGGAACCTGGAGGGATGATAAAAGGGAAAAAGGAATAGTGGTACCTGGATTCCTAGAAAAACACTGCCCCTTCCACCTCAAACCTGATGAATATTCCTCCCCTTATTTCTGTTGCCCTGTTCTGTGAGTCCACAGCCTCCGGAAAGTGTAGAAATTGATTTGTGAGCTAAGTTCTCACTTCTACATTCTTTGGCCATTGGATAAAGCTCATGCTGTTGACTCTTGAGCTCGTTTCACTGTTGGTTTATGAACCTACCTTGAGGGTCTCTCCCTTATAAGAGAGTCAGCATTTGTGGATAGCTATATGTTCATGAACTTTATAAAATATTTGACTTTCAGAACTTACTTTAAAACTACAGTCAATAGTATAGCTTTATTTGAAATACCAAAAATTGGTTAAATCATGTTTATAGGGAAGAATACAATGCAACCATTAAAATATAAATTAAGTGAAAAGGAAAGTTACAAGACAGTATAATATGTCATTGAAAAAATAAATTTTAACTGGAAGAATATACAGTTATCTCTAACAGGAGTAGAGGAAAAGTTTCATTTTTTATGTTTTATGTATCAATAAGCTTTCAAACTGTTTTTTGTAGTTGGGAAAAACTCAGATATTTGAAGGGTGAGTTAATATTTGATCATCTAGAAGCAGGACAAATTGAAAGAAGAAAATCCTATTTAGAGGATATTAAATGCAAATCAAATCACAATGCCCTATCACTGGAATGACCATAATCACAATGGCCTATGACTAGAATGACCATAATCAAAAAGACAATAATAAATATGGGCATGTGGTGAGAGTAGAACCCTCATACATTGCTGGATGTAAAATGGTCTAGCCACTTTGGAAAACAGTTTGGCAAATGAAGTGTGTGTCCACACAAAATCTTGAACACAAGTAGCAATATAATTTGGAATAGTCTAAAAGTGGAAATGGCCCAGGTGTGGTATATACATATAATGGATTCTTACTTAGCATGAGAAAAGGAGTAAAGCACTGATAACACATGTTACAATATGGATGGATCTTGAAAACACCATACCAAGTGAAAGAAATCAGTCACAAAAACCACAGTCGATCAGTCTACTTACATGCTATATCCAGAAGAGGCAAACCAGAGGGATAGAAAGTGCCTTAGCGTTTTCCTGGGTGGGGAAAGGGGTGAATGAAGACTGACTACGAATGGATGTGGTGTTTCTTTTGAAGGAGATAAAATATTCTGGAACTAGATAGTGCTGATATTTACACACGTAATGAATCTACTAAAAATCACTGAATTTTTCACTCTAAAGGGGCAAGTTATGTTATGTGACTTAAAAGACCACAAACCAGAGAAAATGCTATCTGGCATATTCAAATGTTTACTGTCTAAAATATTTATGAAGGAGTAGCACAAACCAAGTTTAGTCACTAAATTCCAAATAAGAAGTAGTCAAACGAGCTGCAATATTTCTATAGAATGAAGCAAAAAAGGCAGAAATTCATGTAAAAAAAACTCACAGTTTCACTAATAGGTAATGAAATTAAAATAGAGGTAAGATTCCCCTTAAAGTTCTATTAAATCAGTAAAAATTTTAAGTGACATATTGCTTTGGGCATGCATTCCTTTTTTTCATTTTCTAAAGGACAGCATGGAAACTGTAGCTGGTATTACCTAATATTCCACACTTCAGAAACATTTTAGGAATAACAGGAAAACTTGTATATGGGGAGGTGGAGGAAAATATGCTTAAAGCTGTTCTTGGAGCGCTTATCACTAGGGAGCATGGGGAGTAACAAATGCCCAGCCATGGGAAACAGCCTAGCAGCAGGGCACATGCATGCTGTTGGCCTGGGGATCTTACATGGGGATAAAACTCCACAAAGAAAGCAGAGCATGCGCTCTGGTCCAACCATGGAGACTTCTCAGGTGAGTCCATCTAGACTCTAGGAGTGAAGAGTCTGTACCAGGACTACTACTACAGGCACCCACCACTTTTTTCATAGGGTCTCACTGTATAGCCTAGACTGGCCTCAAACCCACTACATAGCCCTCACGCTGGCTGACTCTGCACTCAGCAATCCTCCTGTCTCAGCCTCCTGAGTGCTGGGATTATGTACATATGTTACCACACCCAGCTCTTCACATCTCTTTAATGGGGGATGATACAGGCAGAACGCATAAACTAGAACACCTTATAACCCACAAGCCCACAGGATTTCAAATACAAACCAAGACAAAATAATCTGATGTTTAGAGTAAGTGATGTTTATCCACTGAAGTATCTCCATCTCATTAATGGTATTCAGTAGAGAAATGCAACCACATCGATCATTTGAGTGACAAATGCAATCATCAAATTTTCTAATTGATTTATTCATGAGCCCCAGTCATTGAGTCATCATTAATCCAAGCACACAAATATTTTTGTGATAATCCAGTTCACTTGTGTTTTCTGACATTTTCTGGTGTCCTCAAGACAGGGAAGACAGAATGAGGGAAAGTCCTTGTCATGGGAGGGAAATTGAGAGCAGTCTTGTACCTCAGAAGCATCTGAGAGTGCTAAATTCATAGAGGCTTTATTATCAATAGCCATGTACCCCCTTCTCTGAAATCCACTGAATGTCATTGACATCTGTTTTATCTTTACCCTTAATTACTAATATTTGCATATCTAGCTTTCCTCTACTATGGTTTGGTAAGCTGTTTATGCACCAAGACTATTTTCTTATTCATTATATCTCCTATAGAAGCTAGCACCCATAGGTGCAGTCAGTGTCTGTTGAGTTGATGAATGCAAGATACAAGGCCAGGTGCCAGAATGGTGGTGCAGTGTTGAGCATTCATTCAGTGAGACCCCTGGCTGCCCACTGGACAGATGGCCAGAAGATCCATATTCTTTCCTCTATCATGTGTCCCGAGGCTGAGAACAGATTGCAGGGCCCAGAGGAAGAGAAGCCAGATGTGGGATCTGGCTGTCACATTATAAAAGGAAATGTCTCTAGCCGTGTAGTCTAGGAAGATTCCAACCTGCCTGAAGTCTTCCTTATTCACAAGTGGGCTGGAGGAATGGTGGGTGCCTGGTATGCATTTCGCTTCGTCCCCATCAGTAGCCATTCTCTGTGACAGTCATGCTCCCCTTCCTGCTAGTCAATGCTCTGCACATTCCCAAGATCCACACTGCCTTGTCTCCAGCCTCTACCTGCCAGTAATGGCTGCCAGAGAAGAAGCTGGGAGAGCTTGGTGATGATGGTGGTGATGCAACTATTGAATCTCCTCAGGCTGTCAGGCAGCTGTTCTCATTTGTTTCCGAGTCTCACACTCATGGATCCAGGATTGCATTAACTGCAGAGAGAGTTCAAATATTCAGCTAGGGAAGGGTCTGTGGGCAACATAGCCCCAAGGTTCTTCCCAACTCCAGAAAACAGGGACAGGGCTATTCTTCTAGATTATGGTAGGGACACACAGGGACCCAGCAGGCCAAGGCCACTTACATTGATATGGGTACTTACTAGCATGTGCCTGAGTACCAATCAGTTCTGGAACTGCAGAGAAAAAAAAGAGACAAGATTTAAAAAGAAAAAAAGTCCTCAGCATTTCCACTCAGAATGCCTTAATTACACTGTCCCCATAACCAGGAGGCCAGGAAAGATAGGATTCTTCTACTCAGGGCTCTGAATCCTATGTCTGGGTATAACCCAAGGCCTCCCAGACACCCATGCCCACCTTGGAGACTGTAGACTAGTGAGTTAGACGAGAAGGTAGGTACAAGAGGACTGCAGAGCCAAGGACATGTCAGACCTTTCTCTTGCCTTTGTTCCCTTTTGTCTTTTCTCAACAGTGCTCTCAAATCAACAGCAAAACCCCTGATCAGTGCACACCACTTCCACCATACTCACCACTGAATGTTTCCATTTCAGAACGCATGATTTCTAAAAAGGAAAGGGAGGAGAGAGAAGTTGAGTTAGGTCCTCCAGCTAGGAAGAGATCAGGGAGAAGCTGGAGGCAGGTCATAAAGGCCTTGGGAGGTGGAGAAGGGAAGCACAGGGATTCTGGGATGCAGGTAGGAAGTGAGTAGGTGCCTCCCATCTTACCCCAAGTCCACCTACCTGAGAAGCGCTGCATGCTCTTCTCTACAAACTCTGATTTCTGGTAGAGCAGGTGGATCTTTTCTTTCATATCTGGAGGTGTGATCCAGGGCTCAGGGATAGTTATCATCCTGGCCCTAGAGAAAAGAGACCGTTGGTCGGAGAGGGCTAGAGTGAGGAGGTGGCCTGATCTCCATGAGCTGGAAGTGAGGTGAAGTCTCTACTGGCCACACCCAGCCATTCCTGGATTATGCAAACAAAAGTCCTTCTCCCTGGACTCAGAGTTCTGAACACTGGTCCTCAACATCAGCCACAGATTGGTACCTACGGGAGAGGTTTAAGAATCACTGATAGAAAAATTACAATGAGGCCTGGTGGGGTGGCTCAAGTGATAGAGGACCTGCCTAGCAAGCGTGAAGTCCTAAGTTCAAACCACAGTATTGCAAAAAAAAGGAAAAAGAATCACTGATATGAAAACTACAATTAAGCCAGGCACCTAAGTACTCAGGAGGCAAAGATCTGGAGGATTGCGGAGGCTCGAAGCCAGCCCCGTGAAAATAGTTTGTGAGACCCTATCTTGAAAAAACCCATCACAAGAAAAGTCCTGGTGGAGTGGCTCAAGCAGTAAGAGTACCTGCCTAACAAATATGAGGCTCTGAGTTCAAACCCCAGTGCTGCCAAAAAAAAGAAAAAAGAAACTACAATGAGTTTAACTATTGGCCTTAAAATAATATGTAGTATGGTGGTTCTTAAAAAATTAAATAGAGTGCTCATGTGATCCAGCAATTGCACTTGCATGTGTATACCCCAAAGAATTGAAAACGGTCTCAAGCAGATACTTGTATACCCGTAGTCATAGCAACATGATTCACAAAAGCTACAAGGTAGAAACAACCCATTTGTTCATCAACGGATGAACAAATAAAGACACAGTATCCACACGCAATGGAATATTATTTGGCCACTAAAAGGGATGAAATTCTGACACATGCTATAATGTGGAAGATCTGTGGAAAGCTTATGATAAGGGAAAGAAACTGAACAGCAAATGACAAATAACATATGGTTCCACTTATTTTAGATACCTAGAATAGTCAAATTCATAAAGGTAAAAATTAGAATGGTGGTTGGTGGGAATGGGGGAGGAAGGAAGGGGAGCTGGCGTTGAACGGTATGGAATTTCCACGTGGGAAGGTAGAAAGGTCTGGAGGTGGATGGTGGTGCGACACTGAACTGTACACTTAAAATGGTCAAAATGGTACATTTTATGTAATGTATATTTTACCACAAGACTTTTGTTTTGTAGTGCTGAGGCTTGAACTCAGTACTCATGCATGCTAAACAGTGCTCTACCACTTGAGCCACTCCACAGCCCTTTTTTGAATTGGATATATTTGAGATAGGGTCCCGTGAACTATTTGCCTGGAGCTGGCTTCATACCTTTATCTTCCTGAGATTTGCCTCCTGAGTAGCTAGGAGTACAGGCAGGAGCCATGGGTGCCCAACTACCAAAAAAAGACTTTTTAAGATCCCTATGGAAATAATAATGAATGTGTAGAATTAATATTTTTCTAAAGGGAACTTAAAAACTGCTGCTACATGTTCTGTACAAAACTGGTTTATGCCACAGAAACAGAGAATCACAAGTTTGGTTTTGGTACTTTATCTTCCTCTTTGTAGTTAGTTGTATAGAACTTCCAAATTCAAAATGAAAAGAAAACCGTTCTGTATCAAACCATCTCAGCAATAAATGTTATATTTTTCTAAACTGGCAGATTGACATTAAAAAAAACCCAGCTATGCCTGTCTTCTGTCAGGTCTTCTGTCAGAGATTTGGATTTAATTATTGTGGCCATGGCCTGGACACCAAGATTTTGAAAAGCTCCCCAGGTGACTTTGAGGTGCAGCCTCCTCCTGTCTCACCCCACTCCTCCCCTGCCTGGAGGCTTAGCCCAGCTGCAACTAGCTCCCCAGAGACCCCTGGAAAGTGTTCTCTTCCTTAAGGCCGCAGGTAGCTCTGCAGGAGTAGTTTTCATAGGTGAATGGCGTGGAACACAGTCCACTCAGGTTTCTTAGGATTGAACTGCAATTATGGTTCCCAGGCTTCCACTCATACCCTCCCGCCCCATTCTCCCTACTCAAATCCAGAAAGGCCTCAGAAATCAGCAGAAAATGGGAGGCGTCCCTGGTCAAACACTCAGGTCCCCCTTAGGACTATCTCACCCAAATGCTTCCTGCAAGACACCCAAGGGGAAACCACGGGACTTCTGTGTACCTGTGCAAGGTGACTCCGATGTCCTAGAAGAGAACAGAGAGATTTCTGTTACCAGTCTCTTAGAGGCTCTGTCCTGTCTCCTGGCCTCTCCTCCTGGGCTCCAGGACATCAAGCTTCTCCCTGCCCTTACCAGAACTCCCTGTCCCAGGGGTCAGTACATGGGAGCACCTCTCCTCCGTTCTAATTGCACACCTGTTGGTAGCCTGCAGTGCAACTGTGCCCAATCCTGATGATCTCCTCTAGGCAATGCCAGGGTGCCCTGAGCTCCTGAGAGACCTCATCATGCTCCCTGTCTTGGGCAGATCTGATGGCAGTGATGGGAGCCTGATTCATCCCACTAAGCACAGTGAGCTGGGAAGGCCAGGCCCAGATACACTCACCTGCATGAGCTCCCATTCGGACTGGCCCTGCTTGGCCTCCAGTTCCCCAATCAGCTTGTCCAGGCGGGCGATGTCTCGGGACACCTGAATGCCATAGGTCTCTCGGGCCTGGCCAATGGTCTGGCCCAGCTCCTCCAGCCAGGCCATAAAGAGCTGCTCCTGCTGCTCCAGAAAACGGCCCAGCTTCTCCAGCTGGCACCGGACCCTCTGCTTCTGGGATTCAGTTTGTTTCTGGGGAATAGACGAGAGGCAGGTATGAGGCTCTGTGCTGTGGAGTGGAAATGTGTGTCCACTGGCTCCAAGAACCCATCTCCTACAGATATAAGAGGGAGGCTTCCTCAGCCTCTTAAAGGCCCAGACCCCAGAACAGGGAGTGGTATTGTATGGAACCTTCCAGAATAGACTGAGAGTAATAGGGGCTAGCTCTTGGAAAATGCTCATACACCTGGTGTTATAGATTTAAGTTTCCCTTCCAAAATTTGTATATTAAAGCCCCCAGTATCTCAGAATGTGATCTTATTTGGAGATGGGGTCCTTGCAGATGTACTTAGTTAAGATGAGGTCATATTGGGTATAGGGTCAGACTCTAATCTGACAGGTGTCTTTACAAACTGAGAACATGTGGACACAGACACACACACAGAACAACAGGTCAGAAGACATCTATAAGCTGATGGGAGAGGCCTGGAGAAGATTCTTTCTTCACAGCCCTCAGAAGGAATTGGCCCTGACAACTGACATTGGTTTCAGATTTCTGGCCTTCAGAACTGTGAGAAAATTAATTTCTGTGTATGACAACTATAGGAAGCTAAGTCACTGGGGTCACCTTCTCCATACTTTGAAAGCCAGTGTGATAATGACACATGTCTTGGAGGACGTGGGCAAGGCTATGACCACGATGCCATGCTCCAGAATGGAAGCCTCTCTCTACCACTAGGGCAGGTGCACAGGAGGCTCTCAGTAGTAGTTATAGCTTGGTGTGCACCTGTAATCCCAGGACTTGGAAGGCTGAGGCAGGATGGCAAGTTTAAGGCTAACCTGTACTCCATATTGAGACCTTGCCTCAAGAAAATCTTATAAGAGTTCTGAATGGCAGCATTAGTCCATTTAAATGTTGGTGAACTTGGCTTCCACTACAATTGTGCAGAGATCAATCATTGGCTTTTCTACCATTCTCTTTCTCTTAGACACCAGGAAGCTTCTTCAGAGAGATTTTGTCCCAAAACAACCTTTCTTTCCTCCAAGGAGGAGGGAGCCCTTCAGACCCACAAAGACTTAACAGTCTTGTCATTTTTGGTTCAAAAGGACAGAACTCATTAGTTCTTTTGAGCCAAAAATGCCTCCTCATCTTTATTGGTGGTGGTGATGTTACTTTTTCTTTTTTCTTGAAGAGGACAGGTCAGTTGCCTTGTTCAATGGCTTACATTCTAAACTTATCTGATAATTTTGCTCCTTGTTTAATTCAAGGTAAATATTTTGGGCAAGAAAATTTAGTAGTTCTATGCCACATGATGTTCCTAGTTCCTCTCATCTGGGGGACACAGAATGTTCAGTCAATCCATTGTCATCATCGTGAGACTTGAGTTGGTTATTTGACTAAAGAAGGGTCTACCAGACTTCTCTACTGCAAATATACATCATTTCCTTTCTGGAATTGTTAAGTAACTTTGAGAATTTGAGACAGTGTAAATATCTTGTACTCTAACAATCTTCCTACAACATTTGTATCTGTTAGTTGATCCCTGCCTGTATCAATGGTCATGCTGGGGTCTGTGTAATGAAGAATTTCTAATGTAATCATTCTTTTATAGTGTTTGAATCAGCTGGCATCCTGCTGTAGAGTTTTCTTCCCCCTTCATCTGTCCAATGATTAAAAACTTTTTGAGAGCATGGAAAGACGGAGAAGAGTGAGGAGAAAGAGGACCCTGCATTACTGTGTCTTAAGAGAAGGCTGGGCTTATTTGTCTCCCTGGCCCAGCCACTGGGCCTTGACCTCCTTTAGGAGGTATGACTTTGCTCCATCTGCAAGTTCCCAACCACATGTAATAAAAGGAAGGGGTTTTCACTTTCTACAAACTCAGTAGTTCCCCAAAGCTAGACACTTGGGCCAATGCCCACTCTCCATTCTTCCTTTTGTTACCATTCTCTGTGATCCAGTGAAGTATGGGTATGGTGGGGACCAATTGGACTTATCAAAAGAGAGGGAGACAGGATACAACTAATGGATATGCATTAGACAAATCAGTGCTCCATAGGGCAGGCACCTCTGCGTCCTGGAAAAATGAAAGCTGTTTACACGTTCAAGAACTGGACACCAGACCCACAGAAGGCCAATACGTTGTACTGACTGAAATCTGCGGTGTTGCAAAACTACTTTTACAGAAAATGTTCTCCACTTGAGTTTAAAAATTCAGTATGGTTTTAATAAAAAGTGGAGAAGGACAATTATATAAACAATACAGAAGATAATTGAGATTAAAATATCTTCCCTCCTCTTCCTTTGTTATGGTCCCTAATTTCTCTAAACTGCTTCGTGGTGAGAATGAGCAAGTGTGCAGGGAGGTGACCCTTCCTTGGCAGCATGGTCTTCCTCTACAGGAATGAGCTTGACCTTTTGATGCTGTTTTCTCCTTGTTCCCTCAGGCTCCAGAGCAAGTGACCATTCCTGCTGCTCTGAGAAGCAGAGCAGAAGCTCAGGGACCCCTGCTTCCTCCCAGCCCCCTCCCCCCTTCTGCAGGTGTGAACGGGGAAGGACTGGCCAACAGTATACCCTCGCCTTACCAGGAAGTTCTCTGTCTTCTTATCCCCCTGCAGTCTCTGCTCCTCCCCAGACTTCCTCAGTTCTTTCAGATGTTCCAGATGCTTCTGAATTTGCTCCTAGAGAAAGAGCAGCTTTTGAGATGCTTACCCCTGACTTCTGCCACCGTTAGCTGGTGCCAAGTCTAGAGGAGAAAATCTGCTTCCAGGAACAAGGGGAGGGTGCTGCAGTTGAGACATGAAGAGGGGTACTCAGGAAAGAGGAACTATGTTTCTACCACTAAGGGAGGCTGAGCTAAGCAGAGTCTCAGCGACCCTCTGGCAGCCTATGGATCCGGCCATACCTGAAACCAGCACTGTTGGACTTCTGAGCAATATGAATTGGTCAATTCTCTCTTTGCTTGATTGGTTTCTATTGTGTTTTGCCATTCATAGCTCAAGAGTCTTGGCTAATACAACCACATCACAGAGTGGCTGGGGAAATAACACAAGGCCCAGTACATCCAAGTATGTGACAGGGAAGGGTCCCCAGGCAGGGAGCACCTACCTTGTATTCTATGGCAGCTTCTTGGATGGGACGCACCCAGTGGCCTCGGTGCTCCTGACTCAGCCTGCAGATAAGGCAGATGGCCTCCCCATGGTCTTCACAGAAGAGCAGCTGCATCTGTTTCAGATGGCGCTGGCAGTGTGGTACTGGCTGTGGGCTCAGGCCTCTGGAGCTATTCTTTGCAAGTGAGGCCTGGCACTGGGAGCATCTGGGTGATCCTTCCTGGGTGTGGCAAAGATGACATGCAGCCTCATCCTGTGGCCTTCCTGGGGATATAGCAATGGAAAAATCTTCTGAGTGACAAACCCAAAATGTTTACAAGAGAGCTCCTGAACCTAGAACGCATGTGTTCTCAATTAGAACTGGCCACTTTCTAGAATGCCCTGCCCTGACTTCTATCAGAGCAGCGAACAGGGTACTGCAACTGCCAGCTAAGGGCCAGGCTCTGTGTGGTTCCCAGAACTGAAGATTCTTGGCCCTTTCTTCTATGAAACTTCCATGGCCCCTTGCTACATAGCCTATGCTTTTCTCCTGCACAGACACAGACCTAGTGGGTGATATAAAAGAGAGCAAGACATGTTGACAGTGTTTGCTTTGCTACTTAAAATCACCCTGGGCTATTGCACCAGTGAGAGCTCCAAGGAATGGTCACTTTTGTGCCTCACTCATAGACTGATTCCCAGCCACTAACACACTACCTGGCAGATTATATGGCAAGCATTTGGAACACATGTGTTGAATGAAGGAGCAACAGATGACTGTTGACATCCAAGTTCAAGAAGCATTAAATGAGAACAAAGAAGGGGACATTTATCTTTAATCAGTATTAAGGTTTGAACTCAGGGCCTTGCACTTGCCAGACACTTGAGCCATGTCCCCAGACTTTTTTGTTTTAGGGATCTTTCAAATAGGGTCTTGTGTTTATGCCCAGGCCATCCTGGACCACAGTCCTTTTATTTATATTTTCCACATAACTGGGATGATAGGTATACATTACCACACCTTGCTATTTATTGGTTAAGATGAGGTCTTCTGACCTTTTTGTCTAGACTGGCCTCAAATTGCCATCCTCCTGATCTCTGCCTCCTGAGTAGCTAGGATTACAGATGGAGACATTGTGCCAAGAAGGGAACTTTATAAGGCTAAGGTGCAATTCACAATGAAGACATAGCACTTATGAATAATTCTGCCTTAAGACTATTGGTAGTGACTCTGTAAGGCCTAGCACTGGAGGCAGCTGGATGAACAACTGCCTGAGGCCTCAGGATCCCCAGAAGCAATGAGGGCAGCTGCAGGAATTGTGCAGGAGACATAAGAAGAAATAGAAACACACATAATTCATTAGAGTCATTCCCTCTTCCTCCCCTCACTGTCCCAGGAATTTATGTCACATTTGAAACAAGACTGCTAGAGGCCCCCAAGAACCATTCTTCCTTCCTCCCTTGTAAGAGAATTACTTGCTCAGATGGCTCCTTCCCCACCTCACTCCAAAAACCTAGATTCACAGCCCCTATTGCAATTAGGAATACCATTTGATCACATGGTAGTCAGAGAGATATAAATGAGGTATTCTGAGCAGCTTGGAGAAACTTTCCCTAAGTGACACTCTTCCTGTTTTTCTCTCCCCCCTGCTGCCTGGAATGAGGATGTCACCATCAGAGGCCATGAGTTTCAGAGTAAACTTGGTGGAGTAAAAAAACAGCAGAAGTCTGGGGGTCCTGGCTCATGGTGCATGTCATTCATGTGAAAGAGGAAGAACTGCTGCATGTTATGCAATTTTGGATTTCCGTTACAAACAAACAATCCAGATGACTAACTCATCAGTAGGAGAGATCTAGGATTTCGGTAAGCATCTCCTCTCCTTATCCAGAGAAAGGTGGATGGGAAAATCAACCCTGTGACATACTGTCATAGGATAATTTTGGGAAGGGGATAATTTCATCCAGTCCTTTCTAGTTTCTGAACCTGGGGCCCTTATGCTTGTGGATACTAAAGAAAGACTTCCAATGGTCCATCCAGGAACCAACTGAAACTTGACACAACATTGTGTGATGTCCATGCGTGCATTTTTCTGGATCCATGACATGTATCAGATTTGGAAAGGGATCCCAGGAGGCACCCAGGTATCCCAGTAATATAAATACATAGGTATAAAAGGAAATTTCAGGAGGGGACTTCCTTTACAGGCCACCATTCCTAAGGATGCCAGGACTTCTGGATTCTGGGCTCCTTCCTCACCTGAAGATGAAAGTAATTCTGGATTTGAGGGCTTGTGGCATATACCACCTGCCACCTTCCCCAGGGCCTCAGGGGTCTCTGGTTCCCCAGTTCCACTTTCCTCCCAGGATGCCGTGCATTTCTTCTCTCCAGGCAATGGTGCATTGGAAGGTGTGCTCCCGAATGCTAACTCCTGCAGGACTACGGAATGTTCTGGATTCCTGGAGCCCTTCTCCAGAGCCACCCTGGGGGTGGCTGCTGAGTCTGAGTTTGCATTTCTGCTTTGCTCTGCAATCAGAAAAGTCTCTGGGTTTGGCAGCTCTCCCTCTCCTGAAGAAATGGGAATTTCAAGACTTTTGGGCCGCTTCTTTCCTGAAGGTAAATACACTTCAAATTTCTTGGATTCTCTCCTCCCCAGGGCAACGTTGCAGAGTCCCTGGAGCCTTCCTGCAGAGCTGGCATTCCTGCGGAGCTGGGCACTCACCCTGCTGTCTTTGTCCCCTGGCATCTGGGTGGTGAGGGGGCCTCTCCTGGAGATGGCCACTGTGCCCCTGGCCCACAACTTGCTCTGTGTGTCCTCAGGGACCTTCTGATCCCTGCGTTTGCTCTGACACTTCTTCTGGGGCCCTCTCCCTGCCTCAGGTTGGCTGGATTGCATATCAACTGCCCCATTGCTGCTTTGTCGCTGCCCATCACCTTCCTGGCCATCTAGTTCTTTCAGGTTCTTGGGCTTACTTTCCCGAGAAGACACCGCAGAAGTGTCGATGCCACTTTCTTGGGCAGAATATTCTGGAAAGACAAACAGATGCAAAGACATGAAGCTGTGCCACATTCAGGACTGATGGTTGGGAGATGAGAGAAAGAGAGAATCCCCACAGAAATTATACAAGCACAGAGCATTCTAGAAAAACAGCAGTTACCGCTAAGAAGAACATACTTATGATTTGCTATGCTTGTCTCAGGTAATACTTTTCAAGTCTTTTAAACAGAATTCGTTCTACATAAGCTCTCACACAAAACTTCAAGACATAGGAAAATAAAAACTCCGGTTTATTGATATAATTTTATGTCGATTACAGATGATAAAGTTCACCCATTACAAAATTAATCAATAAAAAAAAATTAAGGAGTTTTCATCAGCATGAATATTGAAATCAGGGCATATGAAAGCAGCTGTATTTTTCTCACTTGCATAAATTGGAGAAAATCCTAATTCACACAGGTAAGTGTAAATGGAAATTTTTTAAAAAGCATATACACAATGGAGTTTTACTCAGTCACAAGGAATAATGACATGTGGTTTAAAGGTAAATGGATGCAATTGGAGGACATCATGTTAAGTGAAGTAAGCCAGGTTCAGAAAGACAAACATCACATATTTTCTCTCATATGTGGAAGATAGATCCAAAGATAAACATACACACAAAAACAAACATGATCACATACAAACTCAGATGTAGAACATGTCTGTGACAGTGGAACTGCTGTGTGGAACTTGGGGAAGGAGGGAAGGAAAAGAGAGTGATAGTGTCAACAGTGTTGTAAAACATCACATCTGTGAAGGTGGAGGACACAAGGATGTGTATTGAAAGCTGTTGAAAATGGAGGGTGGGAGGTAAAGGGCAAGGGAGAGCAATGGAAGGGGTTGAATGGACAAGTAAAGTAGACTTACAGCTGGGACACATTGAGAAACCCTTGGAACATCAACTTAAATAGTAATATCAAAAGACAGGACTGTAAAATAGGTACAGTGTGTAGGGGTACTTGTGAGAGGGGGAGGGTGAACGAAGGAGATGAAGGTGAGGGAATATGGCAGATGGACTTTATATACTTACATGAAATAGAGCAAAGACACCTCTTGCAATTGGTTTAAGTGGGGTGGGGAGCAGGTAGAGGAGGAGAGATGGTGGGGGTGATCTAAACAATGTACAATATAAGCCCATTTGGAATGGTCACAATGAATCCCCCTGTACATTGAATATATCCTAACAATAAATAAATAAATAAACAAAACAGCTTTCCTGGACATTTTAGGATACTGTTTAGAAATGACAGAAAAGGCTTAATTACAAGGTCTATATAAAGAAATGAAGATACTCTGTAATCTTAATTTACTTTTTTGTTTGAAGAAGCTCTTATTAAAGTTAAAGTTGTTTGGGGGCTGGGGACATAGGTCAGGAGTACAGTGTTTGTTCAGCATGCATGAGGCCCTGGGCTGATCTCTGGCATCACACACACATACAGACCCACAGAAGTTTAAAGTTGCTTCAAACACTTTGCTATTGGATTTTTAGTTGTAAGTTACCAAAACTGGCTCAAGAAATGATAAAATTCTGAAGATTCTAATGATCTATTATATTTTAAAACAGAAAAAAGCAATTTAAAAATTCTGCCGGACTCAGATTATGTTTTAAGTTCTATTGATTTTTTTCAAAGAATAGAGAAATTTTTACATTATTTAAACCATTTAACATCATAGAAACACCTGGAAAGCATTTCTGATATAGTCATGGCAGCACACATGCTAGGCAGGTGCTCTTAATGCTTGAGCCACTCCACCAGCCCTCTTATGTAGTCTTAAAGTCTAGAAAGAGAAGAAAAATGCAAACACCAAAGAGTACATTGTAAACTGACCATGTCATAGGCCCCTCAAGAAAATACAAAACAAGTCTTTAAAAGCATAAATTAAAGCTACATTCACTGATCACAACACAATAAAATTAGAAAGTTACAACAAAAAAGATAGCAGAAGGAAGAAAGGAAGAGGGAGGGGAGGATAAGAAGGAAAGAAAAAGACAGAAGGAAGGAGTAAGATTTCCTCTTGAGAGCTTGTAAAGTATGTCAAAGAGGAATCCTGAATTGAAATTAGGTGGGTAACCAGGAGAAGATAGATTATCTATCAGCCCTGTAAGATGATTGGTTTCAAACCCTTTCTGCAAACCCAACATGCATGTGTACATGAGTGTTAACTGCACATGGATTAAAGTATTCTCTAAGATCTGGCACTTCAGCCTCTCCCTCTCCTGATTTTGACACACACTCAGAACCCTGGCCTCTATTTTTAAATCCACCAGGAGCCTGAGGAAGCTTCACTAACACCTTGACGAAAGGCCAGAGAGAGAAACAGGACATAGTTAACTCAAGTCACTCAGGTCGTGGTGGACAGGGCCTCCTGACCCTCAAGCCACAGAGCCTGCTCTGAGCGCGCCTTCCTTCCTTCGCCAGCAGCCGGCCCTGCCCAGCCTGACCACTTACTTACCCTGGCCAGTGGCTCTGTGGAGCTCCTCTGCCAGGAGGCGCTGGTTGATGCTCCGCAGGACCTGCAGGGTGAGCCGCACGGCGTATTCCTCTCCATAGTGGGTGACCAGCAGAGTGGCCAGTTTCACCGGCCTGGCCATCTGGACATGGCTCCGGGGGATCCGGGAGTGATCCTTCTCCAGGCTGGTGTTCTGCAGCTTGAACTTGAACTTCTCAAAGTCATAGGGCACCAGCTCTTCTAGGATGTTGAGCAGATGGTCACTAAGGGTCTTGGCCATGGTGCTGACCAGGAGGGACTGGAGGCAGTTGTCTGTCTGCTTGCAGGAGTAAAAGCCCTGTGACCTGGAGCCTGACAGTAAGCAAGAGACAGCTTGTGAAATAACGGAAAAGACACAGGAAATGCTGTACACTTTGGCAGAAACTGAGACTAACGGTGAGGTTGTCTCTGGCGTTCAGGATGGCGCATCCTCTCTTCACAGATTCAGGGGCTTTTCCACTGGGGAGTGCTCTGCCTTCCCAGTTACAAATCCCCTAGAACCCTAGTTCTCACCCAACACTGGGTGGCAGAGAGGTGGGCAGGTCTGTAAAGGAGGTTCTGGGATTGGAGTTCAAAACCCTCCATCTGCTGTCTTGCTCCCAGGACCCAGGGCTGCAGGAGGAGTTGGGGATAGAAAGTCATGCTGGGGGTCAGCTCCTCTAGGAGCTGGGGCTCATAGACCCTGGAGGACCAATGGCAGGGAGAGGGATAGAGAGCAAATACAGCCCTACAAGATTTGCCCAGGCTTGCCCAAGAAGGCAAGTGAGGCCAAAAAGGGCACTGCCAGGAGACAAGCCGTGGTATCACCCTACTGATGCAAATCCAATCTATCTGGTCCATGTTTGGTCCACCCAGCCACATAGAGGCCTTGAATCAAGGTGTCCAAGACTACATTCAGTTCCCAGAGCTGACTCAGCCCTTGCTCCCTGAGACAACCTTTTCTGAACACATGTTCTAGGCACTTAACAGGAAGCTAGAAATGCAGAGTGAAAAGGTGAGCCTCCTTCAGAGTTTACAGCCAAGAGTGTGCCCAGGAGGTGTCTGCAAAGCTAATGGAGGAGCCGGGCACCTGTGGCTCACGCCTGTAATCCCAGCTACTTGGAAGGCAGAGATCAGAAGGATTTCAGTTGGAAGCCATCCCAGGCAAATAGTTCTCAAGACCCTATCTCAGAAAAAAACCCATCACAAAACAGGGCTGGTGGAGCGCTCCAGCTGTAGAGCACCTGCCTGGCAAGTGTGTAGCCCTGAGTTCAAACTCCAGTGCTACCAAAAAAAAAAAAAGCTAATGGTGGGAGCTGACTTCTACTTCACTTTGCACACCCTGATTTTTATCCTCAATCTTTTGTTTTAAAATTTTTCAAACTACAGAAAAGTGGAGTGTGTAGTACAGTGAACACATATATCCTTTACCTACATCCATCAACTGCTTTTCTTTCTTTCTTTCTTTCTTTCTTTCTTTCTTTCTTTCTTTCTTTCTTTCTTTCTTTCTCTCTCTCTCTCTCTCTCTCTCTCTCTTTCTCTCCTTCCTTCCTTCCTTCCTTCCTCCCTCCCTCCCTTCCTTCCTTTCTTTCACAGTACTGGGGCTTGAACTCAGGGCCTACACCTTGACCCACTCCACCAGCCCTATTTTTGTGAAGGGTTTTTCAAGACAGGCTCTCATGGAACTATTTGCCTGGGTTGGCTTTGAACCACAATCCTCCTGATCTCTGCCTCCTGGGTAGCTAGGATTATAGGTGTGAGCCACCAGCGCCCGGCATTCTCCCTATTATTTTCTTAATCATTCATTCATATATCACTTCAAATAACCTAGATACCCTAAATACTAACAATAAGGATACACCAATATTATTTTAAATAATCACAATGCAATTATCAGACCCAAGAAAGGTAACATTGTTACAATAATCAGCCCATAAGCAAATCATGGACTTTCTAGCTTTTACTCCCAAGCAGGTTCCAGAGGCTGTGCAGTATTCTTAGTTGTCCACTCTCTTTATTCTCATTTTGTCTTCAACATTTTCACACTTCCTTGACCATTTCAAGACATTGATTTCTTTTAAAAGTCCATTCCAAGCAGAGTGTCTCTTAACTTAGATTTGTATGATTGTTTTTCTTACAATTAGGCTGCAGGTAACACCCAAGTGCCCTCAAAATCTCTAGTATAAAAGAACATTTTTTCTTTGACATTAATAAATGATCTGAACACGTGATAATGTCCTCTTCTCCTACAGCCTTTCACACAATCACTTTAGGATTTATTGGTGATCCTTTCCTGAGTCAATTTGTTCAACAGTAATTGAGAAACTCACGTTTCTGTCACTTTGTTGGCATTACTTTCATGTCCTTCCTGTGAAAAATTTGGCTTATGGTTGTTTTGTGGGTAATACAATTAACCCCACCACAGCACTTATTCAGCTCACTCTGTGTGCACTCTCTCTTAAAATCTCTGCAGCAAATCTGCAGGGCTGGGTTTATCATCCCCATGTACAGCCAGGAGAGTGGCTTCATGACTTGCCCAGAATCAAGATACAAACTCACTCTATTTAACCACTTCACATATTGTGGAGGCTGAGGCAGAATTGCCTCAGTTTGGTCATCACAGTGAGATCCCTGTCTCAAAAAGTAAAACAAAACAACACAACCCCACTTGACAGCATTGTCTTCCTGTATGAGAATTCATTGTTTTGCTGTTCATCACCAGTCATGGATATCACTTTTTCTCTTGACCACTGGGCTCAGCTGGGCCACTCCCACAGGTCAGCTACGTTCTGATAACTGTCCTGTGTGTGAGTACTGCTGGGTGTGATGAGGATTTGGTAAGTTCTGGTTGGTAAAATTTACCTCACTGCCCAATTGGCCTTTATGATTTTGTTTTTGTTTTTTTTTGAGACAGGGTCTTGCCTGAAATTCTTTTTTTTTCTTTTGTTTGCAGTACTGGGATTTGAACTCAGGGTCTACACCTGGAGCCACTCCACCAGCCCTTTTTTTGGTGAAGTGTTTTTCCAGATAGGGTCTCTCGAACTATTTGCCCAGGCTGGAACTGTGATCCTCCTGATCTCGGTCTCCCGAGTAGCTAGGATCACAGGCGTGAGCCACTGGCGCCTGGCTGGTCTACGGGCTTTACATTTTACAGATTCTCACATTGGGTGCCAGTGGTTCATGCCTATAATTCTATCTACTTGAGAGGCTGAGGTTGGGAGGATTGTGATTTGAGGCTGACCCAGGCAAATAGTTTGTGAGACCTCTATGTCTAAAATAACCAGACTAAAATGGACTGGAGGTATGGTTCAACCTGTAGAGAACATGCTCCAAAAGTGCAAAGTCCTGAGTTCAAACCCCAGTCCATCCTCCCTTCAAAAAATTCAGTGCTTTGGGTTTGTTTTTGGTTTGACACTTTCAGATTACTTGATTCCTCTGAGAACAAAACTACCAAACACAACCTTTTCCCTAAGAACTGAGTTAACCCCAAATACACGTTTTGGTGCAGATGGCAGATGTGTGAAAATTCTGACATTACGCCAGGAGGATGTTGACTGGGATCTCTCTGAGACCAGCACCTGTACCAGACTTCAGAAGGCTGACACCCAGTCCCTCCCAGGAGGCTTCCTGATGCTGGATAGAAAACTGTTGAGGTTGCACAGTGACTGCAGAGTGCTGCAGACTTCTGGGGATCCCTGACACTGACTTGACTTCTCAGGAAACTCCTCTGAGCACCTATAGCAGAATGGGGTAGGGAATGGGGCTTTCCAGCCTCACACAGGATATGTCGCAATTGCAGAGACATCTTTTGCAAGGGGGTCAATTCTGAGTCAGAAACTTCTGGCAGGCCGTATTTTGATGCCCCCAGGGCCTTTGTATGTCAAGAGAAGCCTATAAAAACTTCACTTTTTTGAGATTTTGTGATTTTTTAAAGTGAAATATGAAAATAGACCTTGTTATATATTTTAAGTGTTTGATTAAATACTGAAAGGAGTGATAATGAAATCTTTCTTGCTTCTCTGCCACCAAATATATCATCTTATTTGGAGCCAAAATGATAAATGTAAACCGAGCACAGCTACTGCAGAGAATCAATCCTCTGCTCTTATTCATAAGTAAGGCACATGGCTGGGGGGATGGCTCGGTGGTAGAATGCTTGCTTTGCATGCACAAGGCCCTGGGTTCAATCCTCAGCTCCACAAAAACCAAAACAATAACCAAATAATTCACAGCTCAGTTGCTCTGACATTTACCTTGTTTCTGGTCTCCGGCGGTTTCCCTTTCTGTGATGTTCATTCTACATCATTTGGGGGAGGGTTTTTTCAGTGCTGAGGACCAAACCCAGGGTCTTTGGCCTGCCAGGTTAAGCCCCCTACCTCTGAGCCACATCCCTGCCCTATTTTGGGATTTTTAATTTTATTTATTTGGTGGTACTGGGATTTGAACTCAGAGCCTCATGCTTGCTAGGCAAGAGCTCTACCACTTGAGCCACTCCGCCAACCCTGTTTTCTGTTTTGCTTTGCTTTTTTTTTTTTTTTTTTTTAAAGATAGAGTCTTGCAAACTATTTGCTTGGGCTGGATATAAAACTTGATCTTCCTGATCTCTGCCTCTGAGTAGCTAGGATTACAGGTGTGAGCCATTGCCACCTGGCCAATATTCATTTTTTAAAATCCCAAAATAGGCCAGATGGCGGTGGCTCACGCCTGTAATCCTAGCTACTCAGGAGGCAGAGATCAGGAGGATTGCTGTTCAAAGCCAGCCCAGGTAAATAGTTCTCAAGACCCTCTTAAAAAAACCCTTCATAAAAAAAGACTGGTAGAGTGGCTCAAGGTGTAGGCCCTGAGTTCAAATGCCAGTATCACACACAAAAAAATGAATATTGTATTACTTTTATAATAAAAGAGATAGTTTTAAAAAATCACTTATAATTAGCTTACCCTGTAAGGGAATTTTTATGCTGTTCCCAAAAATATGATAAAGGAAGCTTATAGCATTTAAATATAACACATTTGTTACTGAGAGAATAGGAAGAATGGTTTGGAAGATCATGGCAGATTTCCTGTGTTGATTTGGAGTTGAGAATAATGGATCCCACTGTGACCCAAGCTCTCCCAAGGGAGAAATCTGAGATGTTGAGAGGCTAACCATTCACATTTGAAGTGAATTTCCAGGCAACAAACAGATACCTTGCTTAGTTACTCAGTGACCTTCTCCAGGCTGAGCAAGCTGGGTAAAGCCCTGTAGTCATTCACGGCTTGTCCACCTGCTGGCTCCTAACCCCAACCCCAGTCCTTACCTTAGTATTGAGGTTGTG